GCCGGTATAGCTAATGCCATCACGTTTCGAAAAGTGATTTTTCAAATTAATTATAATCATTATAAATAAATTATAGAAATGCTGATTGTAGAATTCTACGTTGGTTCTTCTTTTGGACTCATATTAATCCATAACATAACACCAATTTTCCTTAATTGGAACCATTTCTGCATGAACTGAATCGATTTTCGGCTTCAATGATCAAACCTGAGTTTTAGTTCAATTAATTTCTGTTGTGGCGATATTTGAAAGATCATTTATTTCATTCAATAAACATTTTAATTAATCAATATTAAATGAAATATTGATTAAGCAATTCCTTACGTGTAAGATGTCTGAATCTAATATGTAATTTTAATTAGTATGATGGAAATAGCTTTTAGTCATTGTGACTTGCTACAGTAATAAGCCTTGGCCAATGCCAAGTATTCTCAAAGTCAAAAATTGAATGGCTCCCATGTTTAGGTTTGTACCGCTAAGCTGTAGAGAAAAAAGCGTGGAATATGTTTACTTGGGCTGAGTTTTCACAGTTGCGGAGGTTTTTAATTTTATTACCATGAGTTTTTTGTTAAAGCCCGCAGAGGGTATTGATTGGTAGCTGGCTGAGAGGCCTCTGCGCTAATTACCGCACTTGCTCTCTACGCGAGAAGTAGCATGGCCACACATTTGAGCCTGTCTGAATACTCATGAGAATTCTTTGTTCAGTCATGGTAGTTTCATTACCTCTTTAGGCTACTGGAATCGTCGAGAGGGTAGCACACAATGCCTGAAAATGGTTTAAAAGCATTCCCTAAATTTTGCGCTGCATTCCTTTATGAACACTTTCTTTGACCAAATTGCTGCAAACAATATTCCTATATATTTTATGAATAATACTACGCGATTCATAATTTATTGTTTATTTTTCGGGTTAACTAGCTTTTCGAAAAGCGTAATTAATTTACATTAGGAAAAAATCATTCAAACATAATAGCCCGTTATAAATTTATGCAATTTAAGTGCCCATTTTAAATATTATCGCAACATACGTTACACCATAAAATCGCGACTGGATTTACGTACGATCTTTCGAAATGAAATAAATGAGTTTGGAGTATTTATTTGATACAATGTCATTTCTACTAATATACTTGATAGAAACTTAGGCTTATTTGAAATTCCAGGTATAACAATGAAATAATTCAACAATTTAAGATTTGATTAATGTATGTACGATGCAAACAGTTGATAAGGGAGAGAAAGTGTGGAGATAGATATATTGAAGTAAAAGTAAGATCGCATGGCAAATTTCTGCATTGCTATCGTAAAGTAAAAATGAGTACTCAAAGAGATTTTTAGAATTTTATCATGCCTGAACCAATTGAACTGAGTAAGATTGCCTATCAGCGATTGATTAGTAGTTGGTTTCGACGAGAAATAATTATCATCGAAAATTAACAATGTAGGCATTTCATAGCCTGTGGAACACGTCGTGGGACACATCATCCAGGATAACCTCTGTTTGTTTAACCTAATCCGCCATCCTGATCATCATTAAGCTTTCTGCGTGTACATTTTATCTGCAAAATACCCACTGAATAAACGTGCTCCGAGCTACACGTCTGTTTCCCTTATAGCTGGGCTATAGCTTAGCTGGTTCTGGGAATCTAGCTAGATGTCGGAGAACCTGCCATAGATGTTTCTGAGTGGGCCAGGCTTTACTAAGGTAGCAATCCGCTACAAATTGGTGACCCTGACGTGATTGCCAAAGTCTGACTTCAATCGCTCAGCAGAGAACCAATCTCTCACTGGCATCGGATTTTCTCTCCTCATCCCTCAATTCACTCGATGATCCCTTTCTGCTCGAATGATTATCACCTTACGTCCGCTGCCCTTTCTCACGGCAAGTCAGATCCTGACTTCCGCTCAACAGAGACTCCATCTCTCATCGTCGACGCGATTGTTCTTCACATCGCCCTCCTCATCTGATGGTTCCTTCCTACGAACGATCATCACCTCAACGGCACCCCGACTCTCTCCTTCCACTGGCTACGACTCCCTCAGAACGCCCTTGGAAACAGGCTACAGCCGGAGCACGTTGCGTTTCGAATGCCCATCTCTACGAGACTTAAGAACCTCGTCCTTGTGCCCAATGGAAGTAACAGCGGGAATACGTTACTCTTCGAAAGCCTACCCTTACAGGTCCCCAAAACTCCAACTCACAACTGCATTTCAACCGGCAAGCCGAGACCAATCGTCAGGCAAGCACACGCCGGGAGATTTCGACAATGGATTGTCGCAACCAAACATCCGTTCAACAAGAGCGTTGAACACCGATCATTGTATATGGAGGAACATCCAACAGAGCGCTCGTCAGTGGACCAAATACTACCTCACTCGCTCAACCGGCAAGGTTCACAAGTATGCACGAAGTCCATAATCCTACTGCCTCCAACTCTAACAACCCGGTCTCAGCAGTTCCAACACCTATCCCACCTCTACCTAGAACCTTGTTTCTCTAAGGCCGAAGATCTACCTTCCCCCCTAAACTAGTTGATCTTGTACATTAACTAATTATCGAGCGTTTTCTTCACTTTTCAGCTTCCTACAAACGCTCTAGGGGAGGAGTATTGTGAGACACGTCATCGCATGCCTGCTCGCCAAGATTGGGAGGTGCGACCGTACAAACAGTGACCAATCATTAACCTCAGTTTATTTAACCTAATCCGCTATCCTGATCTTGATTAAGCTTCCTGCGTGTACACTTGATCCGCAATATACTTACTGAATAAACGTGCTCCGAGCTACACGTCTGTTTCTCTTATAGCTGGGCTATAGCTTAGCTGGTTCTGGGAATCTAGCTAGATGTCGGAGAATCTGCCATAGAGATTTCTGAGTGGGTCAGGCTTTACTAAGGTAGCAATCCACTACAAGCCCATTATATTATCTATTTTAATTTGTCATCAGTTAAAGGTAGAAATAATTATAAAACTCAAATATTTATGCATTTATTTTATTTTCATTAATCGAACCATAATATTCACAATAAAATGCTATAGATATTTTCATATGAATTTCAAAGCTATTATAATTAGAAGGCATATCTATCATGAACTTTTCAGTACTCTCATCGTTAGCTCAATATTTTTTGACTATGAATAGTTCAGTGCCTCCACCGCTAATTTAGTCGAGTCAATTATATTTATACCAATTTTAGCAGGATCATTATTATTGATCATATCCTAATTCGAATTCTCTCACTAAATGTAAATATGGGCATTAATAAGCACAAGCACCGATGCACGTTGAATGACCACAGTCATATTTTGTAGCGAAGTAGACAATGCTGCTAAAATTATCATAACAACATGAAAACATTAGAGATCGTTCATAAACAATTTTCTTCAAGAAATTCAATATCGAGATATATTATGCTGGACAAATTATTTCCCATGATGCAAATGAATTAACTTATCTCCAATCAGATGAAATTCTATCATTTATAAGAGTAGTCAACTTTGTTTTCTTGATCTTTAAAATTTATTGAATCCTACTGAAACCGCAAGAATTATCGTTTTTAATACACCTGGTAGGTGGTGCACATTTGGAAATTAGGGATTTTTGTTCGCTAGTTGCATTTTAGGAGCATGAGTGACACTTCTGTAGACTTGGATGAACAGCGTCGAGTATATGATAATTTCTATGGCGAGGGAGGATTTTCAAAGACTGATCCTTCTGATTCAAAAAAATGGTATTAGTATTGCATTTATGCTTTAATGAAAATAGTGTTCTCATACCTCAGGATTGGTTTAATAAATGGGTTTCATACATTGGACGATGTCGGCCTGAACAATTAAACAGCCAAAGTCCTTCCATAGATGACTGTGGCCCTGGTCCTGTGAATTTTTCTCGGATTATGGGTTCGTCTATTTTTTTGTGCTTAATGGAAACGTAGAAAACGGCAAACTTAAAAGTAATCTTCTTCTCGATGTTAACGTGAAGGCCATAACAGAAGAGCTATTTAATAATCTCTCAAGATGGTATGGTATCGACGGTCTATCTAGTGACATTCCTTGGCGCGATATTTACAAGACGGATAAAAATGAATATACTTTTGATCTTTACCCTCCTTCAATTAAACTTGTTTCTCGTGAAAATTATGCCAATTTCGTCCTCAATTGTCATTCCCACAAAACTATAGGTGGGGTCCTTTGACTTCTCATTTTTCTAAAGGTTTTGTCAAATCCTGCATTAGGAAGAAAAATAATCTCGAAAATGAGACAGAAATACATCTTTGGGATGCACAAGACAAGGACGAATTAACTGATGATGAAACTGTAACGTTAAAAGAATGTAGTCTCGTGGGTGATAAGGTAGTTTTCTTGTATCACTTCTTGCATTTTTGAAGCTCCCATTAAATGCTTTCTTTTGGTTTGTTTTAGCGAATTGAATATTCTGTGGGATCCAGAACGTACGTCATAATTAAATGCAACACTTTTAAAACCGAATTAACACTAACATTTTTTTGGCTTCCCTTTTTCAGTTTGTCCAACGGAGACAGTAGTGCGTATTCCCATATTATTAGATACCCTTCCTCATCCCTTCCTCGTGGAGTTTGTGGCCTAAGTAATCTGGGAAATACCTGTTTTATGAACAGTGCTATACAGTGTATATCGAATATTGCGCCTTTACGAAAGTTTGTTCTTTCGGATGAATTTCGTGGTAGTATTAACGCAACAAATAGACTTGGTTCCCACGGAGAAATTGCTATTGCTTTTGCAGAACTCATTAAAGAGATGTGGAGTGATAAAAAACGGGGTCTGAGCTGTGTTCCTCGAGATTTGAAAGTAATTTTTTGCTAGTCATGACTTATTAATTTTAGTCTAAAATTGGTCGCTATGCTCCTCAATTTCTTGGCTACAATCAACATGATGCGCATGAATTGATGAATTTCCTCTTGGATTTTCTCCATGAAGATTTAAATAGAATAAAAGAAAAGCCTTATATTGAAGATAAGGATGCTGATGGCCGACCTGATGAGGTAGGTGGTCCGAGTTCTTGTTAATTTGCTATTTTTTCTTCTGAAGGAAGTTGCAAATGAGGCCTGGTCCAACTTCAAGCGACGCAATGATTCAATAATTGTTGATCTTTTCTATGGTTTGCTCAAATCCACTGTAGAATGTCCCAAATGCGGCCATGTTTCCGTGATCTTTGATCCCTTTAGCTCTCTCTCTCTTCCTTTGGGAGTAAAACGTCTTTCGGTTTATGTGGGACCTTTCGATTTATATAGCTTACCTGTAACTCCCTTGTGCAGAGCAAGGGATATTGTCCAATCCCTGGAATATCACAAACCCATCCCAGATCACTCCAAGGTGAGTTTTCATCCATATTTCGAAATACTGTGCACTTCTCACTGTATATGATGTTGCATAAGGGTAGTCTTTATGATGCCTCTCAAGCTAGTTTTTCCTCTGTCTTTAGTACGTAGTGACGAGGAAGGTTGGCAACGAGTTTGATGTCATCCCTGCGGAATCCAATGAGAATCTCTATGATGAAAAAATCTACGTTTTTAGAGTTACTGGAGTGTATCACTTAAAGGTCCTTTTACTTGGCAAATAGTAAGAATTATTTATTTAAAATTCTCCATCATTTTTGGATTTTAATTTTTTTCTCTCTTGACAGTACCCTAGAGTCTGTTCCTTTGTTAGTATCTTTGGAAATGACCACAAATGGGATTTCGAAACAGGCCCTTTGTAATGCAGTGAAGATAGAGCTATCTAAATATAACGAGTTATATGGCGAGCATTTCGAGAAGATCTGTCAGGACGATGATCTCAGATTTTCATTTGAAGATGAAATATTTCCAATGGAACGTGAGTTAAACTGGGTCTCAATTATCCATTTTGTTAGTTATCGTCATCTAAGTATGTTGTATTTTATTGTTTTACAGCAGAGAAGATCATAGAGATTGAACTTGTTGGCGATATGCAGGTTAAACATGACACTGTTGTTCGACTGCCTGTTAAACTGCAAAATTGCATTGACCTCTTTCTCACATCGGAACAATTGGGAATTCACAATTTATGGTACTGCAAGTATTGCGAAGATCATCAACGAGCTTTCAAGAAATTTGACCTCTGGAAACTTCCCCAAGTACTTATTTTTCAGCTCAATCGCTATAAGAAAACCTACTATGTTTCGAAGAACGATGTATTTGTGGAGTGTCCTCTAGAGTACGTTTACTTGTGGCATACCTGGTTTCGTTCTGGTTACTGGAAGTAATTAATTCTCTCCTTTGTTCTTTGTTGCTATAGTGACTTTAGACTTCCTTATCTCAAGGACAGTCCGACCTATGAACTTACAGCTGTTATTAATCATATGGGAGGTTTAAGTGGAGGTCATTACACAGCCTTTGCCAAAAATGGAAACTCCTGGTATAATTTTAATGACAGTTTCGTCGACAGACTCAAGACATCACCCGTGGTAAGTACTTATAGATTAACATTGCAGTCATAAATCTGATGATCGGTTACTTCAACTTTTGCGCATTTAGTCACAGAGCGCCTACCTTCTGGTATATTGTTCGAAGGAAGTTTCGTCGAATGGGTATTGATGATGAAGGCTTTCCCATTAATTATTGGACTCGCTCATCGTCTCAATTATTATTCACCTTTCGGCGTCATTGCATTTTTATACGTTGATCTCTATTATTTTTCTACCTACTTTTTTTTTGTCCTGCTCTTCGTGTCTTTTTTCCTTCAACCTTTGGGCTTTGTGTGTGCTTGTGCGCTAGCCTAGACCGAACCCTTGACTCTATGCGATTGTTTCTCTTCCTTGTAAGGTTTATGCGAAATGTTCAATTAATTCGTGAATGATCATATTGGTGGTCTTCCTTTCCATTGGTTTGAATTCAAGCTCCAAAACTTGTGGATTTGATAAGGTCTGCTTCTTTATTTAAGTAGGAACGTTATCATGGTTTGTATCTTGCGGAGTGAATTGAATGTGATCAATGTCTCTTAGTTTTATTATTGACATTCTGGTTCTATCTGTTAATACAGTTCA